GCCCAGCTCCAGGTTGAGCTGTTGTTCAGCATCTTAGCTGTGGAGGGCAGTGTCACTGGCCCTCGTATGTGGGATCCAAACCGGGGCCCTCTGGTGTCCCAAGCCAGTTCCTAACCATCGCGCCACTCGGCTGGCCCCTGAAATTTTTTTTTAACTATATAACTGGGGTGGTTTATATCTTAAAGTATTTTTTATTCATTTGTATCTATTCAATATTTAATAAAACCAATTTTTTTTAATTAAAATAATTTAGATAATTTAGAACTTTGAACTAAGATAAGCAAGAAGATTATATCTTAGGTTGCAGAAGACAATTAACAATGAAAGTTGTAGTAAGACCATTAGAACCTTGAACTCAAGTAAGAAAGCTGGAACACTGAGGAAAACAAGGATATATTTATATGCTTCTAACATATAACTAAGATGAGTAACAAAGGATGGTTTGTTAAATTGAGGATAGACATTAAGAATGAATAAGGTTATCAAGGAAATGGAATGGAATATGGACTAAAAGGAGGTTCTAAAAAAAAACCTTTCATGTTTAGTTTAGCTTTCATCTCGAGTGTCCTCTTCCCAAATGTTGCCATCCCTTTTTAATTACTGAAGCTAAAGTTTTACCACATCTATACATCCTACCAATGTCTTATGTTTAAGCCACATCATGAATGCATAAGCCGAAGAATTAGAACTTCTTGCACTGTCTCCCATCACCTTTATAACTTAATTTGATATACACTATTTTTCATTAACAGCTATATGAAACAGTATTTTATAAAGATAAATGTTTCTAGAACAATCTAAAAACCTTATTACACTGGACCAATCTAACTTTATATTTAAAATCTTATGTTGTATAGCACCCTAACAGACTCTAAAAATATCTAATATAATTCCAGTTTGGCACCAAGTAAAACAGCAGACTGAGTAGCTTCTCATTTCAAATCTTGTACTAGAAACTTACTTCTTCTACCTGCCCATCTTCAGCTCCATCTTTCTCTTTGTCTTCCTCTTCATCATCATCATAGTCTTCTTCTTCATCTTCATCTTCTTCCGATGATGTATCCCCAGTTCCATCAACTTGTAACACCAGAGGCGCCTGCTGCTGAGCAGTCTGGGCCTGTGGCTGCTGCTGGCCAGCTGCAGTTATCTGTGCTTGTGCTGGTGTGGGTGCCGCCACCGTGGTAGGTATAACTTGAGTCTTATTTCCTGTAAATAAGATTTGCTGAGGCTGGATAATGACACCTGTCTGTGGTGAAATTCCTCCAGGAAGAGGGGCCAGTACCTAAGGCAAAAGAAAACCAAATATTAAGAAGTAGTTAAAGGATCAAGTACCTTAATTTATTACTTGATACACACAAATAGGCCCAAATGCTGAAGAAATACCAAAAATAGCCCTATCTCATACATAGTTAAAACTACCAAAGCACAAAAGGAGTGTTTAACTAACTAGTGTACTGACCCACTAAATTTCCACTTTACTGTACAAACTTCTGAGGGAAAAAAAGGTTTTCTGAAGATAACCTGTCAAACTTTGCTTGTTAAGCATTTGCTTTGTATGTACCAGATTTCAGACCAAGATTTACACAATTAGTTTATTTTCTTGATGTATGGGGAGGTTTAGCAATTTGCTAAGCTTGTCACCAAAAGCCAAAATTTAAACCTACGCTTTCTACTTCGGCCCTTATTATGCTGCTACACTATCTCCCTACGAAGAACAATGTGTTGAAAATCTGAGGCTCTGGATTCTAGTTTTGTCTAAGATCACAGGTATAGATGTAGCAGAGGCAAGGTATTTAACCTCTCTTAGCTTCAGTCACTTCACTGTTAGACTAGGTACAATGATTCTCAACCCTGGCTGCAAATTATAACCACCTGGTAGCTTAACATTCCTGATGCCTCGGCTCTACTCCTAATATTCTGATTTAATTGGCGTTGAAATCTTTGCATTGTATTTAATGCTTCCCAAATGACCCTAATTATGCAACCCCAGCTGAGATCACCAGATCCAATGATTTCTAAAGTTCCTTCCAGCTTCTGCATTCTAGGGTTCTAAGGCAAACCACAACTCAAAAAGAACATATCAACAAATATTAATTATATGCTATAATGAACATATAACTATAGTTACTAATAAATAAAAGGCAGATAATGCCTAGTGATGAATACAAAACACTGAATGGCAATTATTTACCATTAGGTTCAAGGAGTGCAAAATAAGATAGTGTTTCCTTTAAGAAGTTTACAGATTGGTAGTGTAATAGACAAAGCAATAACATCTCAAAAAGATGGAAGATGTAATAGAAGTATCATGTGGTATTATGAGAACACAAGACAGTACTCAAGTAACCTTGGGGAACAAGGCATCATCAGGGAAGTCTTCCTAGTAGGTAATACCTCAGTGTCTATTTGTGCTTTGGGAGATTACCCAGGTTTCTCTGTTTAGTTTATTTGTTGAGGGGGGAGAGGAAGCTGGAGTGCTAGAAGGCAGGCCAAAAGTGGCATTCTAAATAAAAGGAAAATATCAAGTGAAACCCAGAAGTAACATGACAAAATGTGAAAAACAGGCTGGATTAATGCTCCTTCTCTGATCTTTCCTCTATCATCATACTATTATATTGACATTATGTGTTTATATGTCTGTATCTTTTTTAAAGTACCTAAAGTCCTCAAGAAAATAACCATTTCTCTTTCATCTTTGTCCTAACAGTAATACCAGGCACACAAGTAGATGACTTAACTTGATCTAAACAGCAGCTGAAGCAGATAACAACCAGAAGTATAGCAAAAAATAAACCTAAAGTGATTTAGAAAAATTAAAATCTTATAAACCATGCTGAGGAGTTTGGATTTTTTTCCAATAGGCAATGGGAAGTCATTAAATGATTTTAGGATTTTTAGAACAATAAAAGTATAAAGTGGCAATGATGTTAACCCTCCATTGGGCGCAACTGATCTCACAGATTCATTGCACACAAATTTTCAATTATGAAATACATCTTTACTGTACTAAGTCATAAACATGACTGGCGACAGGTTACGGTAGAGGGGGAAGATACAGAAGTGATGAGTCATGATACTTAAGTTAACTGTTAAGATACTGAAAATTTGTGTGCAATGAATCTGTGAGATCAGTTGCGACCAACGGAGGGTTAAGAGGGCACAACACAGGAGGCAGGGAAATTGATTAAGAGGATAACAAAGTATTTTAAGTAAGAATTATGAAAGCATGAACTACGGAAACGACAAGAGTATGAGAAAGCAAGTTTCAGACATATTAAGAGACGTAAATATGTAAAAACTGCGTCTTAAAAAAGAAACTATAAAGAAGAATTGGTAGGACTTCATGATGCTTTGGATACTGAAGGTAAGGGGAAGGGAGGATCCCATACAACCCTTCCAGAAAATACATATGCATCATGAATCTAGATTCATACCTGCCTGCTCACTCCTAAATCTCCAATCCCTTGCAAAAAATCCTGATATGTAGCCACATAGTAAACGCTTGTTGAATGAATGCTGAGTAACTACCTTAGGAAGCTGGATGGAGAATGGTGCCACTGACAGAAAAGCACGATCGGGGGTTAATAAAGGAAGAGTAGGAATAACAACAATTTCATCTTAAACATACTGAATATAAATTAAACTGTGAGGTATACAGAAGGAATTTAGAATGACATGGTGTGTGGTGCTGGAGAATAGTCTAACGATTTGTGTAGATAAAGCCATGAGAATAGGGAAGGCAACCACGCAGAGTATTCACAAAGAAGAGGAAGAAAGAAGCCCATGGTGATAATAACTTAAGGTTCTTTTACCTGTTGTATAACAGGAGCCTGTACTCCACCAGGCTGCATTTGTGGTATAACCTGTTGTTGTAGAACCACTGACTGCTGAGGTTGAAAGATATACTGAGCACCATTGGCTGCTCTGACCACTTGAAGAAGCTGGCCTAAAGCAAAAAGTACGTATTTGAAGTTATCATTTTAGCAGTTGCCACATCAAAATAAATGAATTCATAGTGAATGTCAAACCACTAAAGGCCCTAGAAATTATCAAATAAGAAATCTAAGAATTTTGCTAAGGACTGTCATCCATACACAGTAAACATTATCCTTACCTCCTCTGACTTCCATCCATGTTCAAACACATCTCTTAAAATGTCTTATTTTCCTTATTTATCATCCTTATAAAGCTGTTTTCCAACAAAGTTTTAACAACAGATTATGAGAGTTGACTAAAAGCTTTAATTCTCTTTGGTAACATGTTAGAAATCATGAGAGCACAATACGTCAGTCAGGATTAGATATTTCAGGGCCTATTCATTTTTAAAGCTTTATAGAAATTAAAGTATAATAGTTCATGAAAATTTTGAACCAAAGTATCATAACACTTAGCTTTAAAATTGCTTAAAAACAATAAAGTTTGCTGAACCAATTATCATTGCCACATAACATTAATTGTATGACCGGCTTATGCACAGAACTGAATCCTTCTAATATGTTGTTTTAGGGGACCCAGAATCTTGACTTCATTAAAAAGTGAACAACTCTGAGCCGGCCGAGTGGAGCGTTGGTTGGGAGCTGGCTTGGGATGCCAGCTCTGAGCAGCAAGGCACCGGTTCAGATCCCACATGGGGGCCAGTGACACTGCCCTCTACAACTAAGATGGTGAACAACAGCTCGACCTGGAGCTGGGCTGCCGTGAGTCGCCGGTGACGGCATAGGCTGCATCCCCTGCTGCAGTGGGCTGCCGTGTGTAGCCAGCAGCCAGAGTGAGCGGCTGGCAGCAGGTGTGAACTGCCAAGAGCTGCCATGAACATCTGTCCAGAGGCAGGCGACCAATCTGCCTCGCCCGGGAAGAGCGCAATGATAATACCAACATGGGCCAGTGAAGCAACGTTCTCCACAACTAGACTGAAGAACAAAACGACAGCAACTTGTCTGTTCCCCTTCCCCCAATTCCCCAGCCCTGTTCCCCTCTCCCAATTCCCCAATTTAAAAAAAAAAAAGTGAACAACTCTAGCTTATTAAAACATGTAACAAGATAAGCCCCTAGTTTGTTCTTCACAAATTTAGAAATTAACAAAACAATGAGAAATTACATAATTAAGATTAGAGAGAATACTTAAAATCCATGTAAATAAATTCTTCAAACAGTAGTATGCCAAAAATCCCAGTAAATTTTGTCAGTCTACAGAGATACTATGTAAAATAGAATGCAATACACTCGTTCTTAAGATACTAGAAGGATTAGTGTTTAGTTTAATATCATGAACTACTTCAAATGACTCAAGTTTAACTTATTTGGCAGGTTAAAAGTATTTAGCAAAAAAACCAAGTAAATAAGCACATCTATGTAATCGTACTTCATTCAGTAACAGATTTCTCATTCATGGATCAAAAGCTTAAGTGCAATTCTTATGTTCTCTACTGCTATTTCAACAATGATTACAGTTTAATGTGGCATAGCCCTCAAATAATCTTGTTTTAATAACCTAAGCCAAAAGAAATATTAAGGTTTTCTGTCTTCTAATAAAGACAAAAGAAAAGCTAAATGGTACAGTTTCTGAGTTATTTATATGTAATGGTTGTATTATTTCTAATTACCTGAATTTGTTAGTATCTGTTGAACAGGAGTCACACCTGCAGGGAGTGCCAAGGTAGCAGCTGTAGCAGCAGCACTCTGCAAAAACAAAGAAAAAATCAAAACTACGTATGTACATAACACCTTAGTTTAGCTCTGGCATATTTTAACAATATCTCAAGTTTATCATTTAGTATATACTAAAATGAAGGTTCTAAGAATCAGACTAAATCCCATGTATAAAATGGTACAATAAAACCACCTAGTGTAAATGCCCTAATTTTATTTCAAGTAATTAAGTAGAATAATATAATTGGGTTCCCCCCGCCCCTGGAAAATGTGCTCTAAGGAAATCTCACCCACACTAATAATGCTGTACAATATATGAAATATCTATTACATTATTTCCTTTCCTCCTGTTTCCTTACTCCCAAATCCTTACTGTCAATTAACATACTTGAGGCAAAAGTGTATCTTCATTGTAGAAATATTATATTTTTAACTTATACTAGAATCAACAGGTCTCTACAGAAAACCTTGTATCAGAAGACTGCACTTGGTGTACACATGGCAATTCTTCTAAAATGATATAAAGTGACAATATTGGCATTATATCTAGGCAAAACATATTAATAATAGTATTAATACAAAAATACCTTAAAAGCTTATGAAAAGTCACAAACTTTAATTTCTACATTTCAAAATGGAGTTAGTATCTGTCATTTAAGTTACAAAAATGGCATCAGATTATATTCCGAATTCTTTAAATCCAGGATAAAGTCTTGATTTACTGCTTCTAGAGACTTCTCCCCTTCCTCTAAAACAGCGGTTCTCAACCTTCCTAATGCCACAACCCCTTAATACAGTTCCTCATGTTGCGGTGACCCCCAACCATAAAATTATTTTCATTGCTACTCCGTAACTGTAATTTTGCTACTGTTATGAATTGTAATGTAAATATCTTTTTGTTTTCCAATGGTCTTAGGCGACCCCTGTGAAAGGGTCGTTCGACCCCCAAAGGGGTCGCAACCCACAGGTTGAGAACCGCTGCTCTAAAAGAATTACACCACATTCTTACTGTATTTTTATCCTGTGCTCCAAGCATTTCTATGTATCTCATTATAACTGTGTATAGGTAGTTTTATCCCCTCTCCCTTCAATCTTAAGGTACCAAGCCTTCATATAATTCAATCTAACCTATACTTTTAGAAACACCTGTATCTAAATAAGTTTCAAGAAATAAATGTAACTGTGTTTAGGAGACGCTAATGCAGGAGAACTCAACAAAACTTGGAAAATTATACTCAAATAAGTTAATGATACAAGTACCATATTTACCCGTGTATAAGACACACCCTTTTTCGAAAAATTTGGGGGTCTAAAAACTGAGTGCATCTTATACAGTGGTTGTATGAGTGCAAAAACAAGTGCGGAAAAAGCAAGAAATGCAAGTTTAAAAAAAACTACAACCACTGTATAAGACACAGCCAGTTTTTAGACCCCAAATTTTTCTAAAAAGGGTGCATCTTATACACGGGGAAATATGGGTACTATCTAGAGTAGGCTCTAGGTACAGGTTTCTAAGAAAATATGCTTGTTGTTGCCACTTGACAGGCCTAAGTAATTTTGACATCTTAAGCCTGAAATTTCCACTATGTCCCCAGAATCGGGCAACAGCCCTCCAGGCACTATGAAATGCAGGTTCTTCATTTGGTTTGGATACCAACCACCCAACTACTCAACTTCAAACACATCTAGTCTGTATAGGCAAATGAGAGGTACTCTATGTTTAAGGAACATATCAACAACCACTTACTATTGAGAAATATTATTTAGAAATATTAATTGCCTGTAATTCATGTCATAAGATTACTGTATCTCCCTTTACAGGCAAACTGATATAGTAGTTTGCACATGACAGAACTGCCTGAACACCTCTGCACATTCAAGTAGCTATTAACACATAATTGTTGAGTGATGTACCATACACAATCCATGTTTTATAGTCTACTGAAAATTTCTTCTTGTATTTTACAAAATAGCCCTTACATAAATAATGCATTACGGCAATCATTTCAAAGAACTTGCAAAACTGGTTTGTTATAAGGTTCTGTTTTCTAAGTTCCCTAAAATAGCCTTCAACCTAACATCACTATCCCACATCCTTATTAAATTACATAATTTGTACTTATGTTCATTTCCAAAGCATACAGACCTATTAAAAAATCAAAACTGTTTTTAATAGATATTGTTACATCAGGAATAACACAAACAAAAACTCAAAAAACTTTTACTTGTAAAGAGCCTATACTGATCGTTTCAGAACTTGTTACAATACATGAAAACATCAAATAGAATGCTGAAATACACACGAATATATTTATTGATTGAAGTTTCTGATGATCTATCTGTTAAATAAGCATGCGTTTTAGAACCAAGGAGATACAACAAATCAGTAAGAAATGGGGCCGTTGATTTTTGCCCCAGTCTCTTTAAACAATTTTAATTCAAAATTATCTTCCACAACACTTAAAATTCTTTGAAATTAGATGGGCCTACTACAAGTGATTTTACCAAACTTTCTATTTTAAAAATGACATTAATTATTTGCTAGGAAAAGTCTCAATAGTACCGACTGCAATATAGATCCTATAGTGAGACTTTTATTTTTAAGGGTGAATGTTAAACAGAAATCTGGGACCTTAGACGCGAAATGGAATTTGAGTAATAAGAATTCTTGTGAGAAACACTAGGCATGGAATTTTGTGATTTTTATACAAAACTACTGATTCCAGCAACTTGCACTAAAAGTACCAATAGAGAGCTTTAATTTTTTGTGAATTTAAAAATTGCAATTTCTACTGTCATGTAAAATTTGCAATTCTGCCCAAGTTCTAAATTTCTAAGGCTGGTGTATCTATAAAGAAGACATTTGTTTAGTAGGTAAGGCCTACTTCCTATCTGGCTTACAAATCACAAATGAGCTTTGAGGTTCACTACTTATCACCTAATAAAAGTGATTTTTTAAAATATTGCTTTTTCATTTAAAAAAATAAAAAACTGGATCTGGAAAAACAATCTCATTGCTAGCACTAAGATAAGAACTCCTTTTAAAAATAACGATTCTCACCGTTAAGTCAAAGACTTAGCCAAATTTAAGAATGAAATGTCAGAGCTAAGAAACCATTAACAGTTTATATATTTTAAACAAACAGAACAAAGAAAAGTCATTTATGAGAAAGTGGTAGAACAACTATTCTAATGTTTTATTTTTTAAAAAACTATGCATACAGGTAAAGATTTTCTAAGGATCTGAAGGTTCTTTCAATTTTACTGTTATACTATACTACATTAAATGGGAAATATTATATGCCCTAAGTGAAATTTGAAAACTTGATGACCTATGAACTTCCGTGGATATCCCTTAGAAATATCAAGTCTAATGTACAATAAGCACAACTTGTTGAAACGCATTTTAAAGTAGCAATTAATATGTTGTAATAAAATTTACTAGGCTATGCTATAATTAAATCATAGCAAATTTTTTTTCAATGTTTGATTTTAAAAAGTTATCTTGAACTATTTAAAAATTTATAAAGAGTCTGTAATTCTTAGCATTCCTGATCTCCTGTAATTAATGGATCTCCTGAAACAAATATATTTGGCATACTATGTTTAGTGGATCCCCTAAACCTATTTTCTTGAAATAGCAGGAGATGAACTAGCTCCCACAGAGCATTATTTTTTTGGGTATTTTCAACAGAAAATTGCATAATTTTATGAACCTCAATGTCTAAGTATCAAGCTAAGCTTTAGATTTTCTGCTAAATCCAATATTTAAGAAACCAAATAAAACAGTTGTTTTGCTCAAGCCTTGAATAAGCTCTGTTAATATACAACATACCTAGGCATAATCACAATTTGGGTTAGAATAAGTAGGGCCAAACAAAGTGCTATGTTCTGAATCTTACCATGTTTGATGCATTCATATGTTGTATCAGCTTAGAATCAGGAACAATAACTTGTGGTGCTGCAGCTATTACAAACACAAACACACATGCAAACAAGGAACCATGAGTCTATTTCATAATCATAAGAACACTAGACAACGTTGAAAACTTTTTTTCATGCTGTCTACATTTTCTGCATTCAACCATTTGATACCTCAGAATGTTATAAATTTCTATGGTAAATAACAGCTGTAATACTCACCTTACACTTAATTAAAAAAAGGATTTGAGTAATAATACCTAAGGACTCAAGGAAGCCTGGGAACACAAAGTAGTGAGATACCTAAACATATACATCTCTGTGCATTCTTAAACTAGAAATTTTCGAACATAATTTAATCTTGTCTTGCTCACTCAGCATTAATGGTTTTATTTACATATATTGCTACTGAAATGAGATATTAACCCATTAAGAGTGAGCGCAAAATGTTAGAATTAGTTTTTTTCATCTACATAGTCCTTTTCGCTCAATTTGATATCTGCCAAAATCTTAAGTTATTTCCACTAACTTTTTAAAAAATACAAATCAAAAATAATGTCAACGTTACTTAAGTGTAAAAGGAACTACATGTTTGATTCCGCAAATTTCAGAGAATAAACAGATAATCCCATTATCCTAATATTCTCTGAGTGAAGAAAATCAAATTTTAATTTATGATGACCTAAAATCCTAGTGCCAGGCCTGAAGGCAATAGGAGGAACAGTCATCAAAACAGATTAAAAGAATAAAATTATCTGATGCAAGGTACAGAATAAAAGCAAATATAAAATTCTTATTTGATTATATAATAAAATAATCCAAACAGACATTTCTATTGCACATTACCATCAATTTTAAGTCTCATATATACTTTCAAGCCAGGCAAATGGGTAACTGAACAGTTATGTTAAAATAAACTTTTCATTTACCTTCATTCTCCTCTCCAATACCAAGATGTATAAAACTCAAATACCTAGGAAGTTTTATGAATGAATACAGTAGTGTGCCCTTATTTGAAAAAGATTCAGTGGATGCCTGAAACCATGGATAGTACAGAACCCTATACATATGTTTTTTCATACACATACATACCTATGATCAAGTTTAATTTATAAATTAGACATAGTAAGAGATTAACAACAGGGCCGGCCAAATGGCGCATTGGTTAAGAGTTGTCTTGGGGGCCGGCCGAGTAGCTCAGTTGGTTAAGAGCTCGCTCAAGAGTGTGAGCTCTGAACAACAGCGGTTCAAGTCCTGGCCGGAGCTGAGCTGCCAACAGGTGGCAGGATGGCTCAGCTATTAAAAAAAAGAAGAGTTGGCGTGGGATGCCAGCTCTGACCAGCAGGGCACCGGTTTGGATCCCACATTAGGGCCGGTGATGCTGAGCCCTCTACAGCTAAGATGGTGAACAATAGCTCGACCTGGAGCTGGGCTGCTGTGAGTTGCCAGCAACGGCGTAGGTTGCAGTGGGGCTGGCCGGCAGCTGCCGTGCGCTTTCATGAGCTGCCGTGAGCCACCGTCCAACAGCCAGCAAGCAACTGCCTCACCCGGGAAGAGCACAATGATAATACCAACATGAGCCAGTGAAGCGCTGTCCTCCACAACTAGACTGAAGAACCAAAGAACAGCAACTTGTCTGTTCCCCTCCCCCGATTCCCCAATAAAATCTTAAAAAAAAAAGAGAGATTAACAATAATAGATTACAGCAATATACTGTAATAAAAGCTTTGTGAATGTAGTCTCTCACCAAAATAGCATAAATTTTTTTCCTTTTTCACAATTTCATGGATAGAAGATTTGTTCTTACTACAGATCTTAGCAACTTCAGCATACAATTTTTTTTTTCTTTCCTTATTGAGAACTATCACCTTTTCACTTAAAGAAAGCACTTTACAGCTTTTCTTTGGCATAGCGAACATCACTACTCTTGCCCTTTGGAGACATTAGTAAGTAAAATAAGGGTGACTTGACGACAAACACTGCGATCCCACGACAGTCAATCTGTTAACTGAGAGGGCTACTAAGTGACTACTGGGTAGGCAGCATATATAGAATGGATCACTGGACAAAGAGATGATTCATGTCGCAGGCAGCATGGAGTGGGACAGCTCAATTTCATCATGCTACTCAGATCGCCACAAAATTTAAAACTTGTGAATTGTTTACTTCTGGAATTTTCCATTTAATATTTTCAGACCACAGCTGACCACAGGTAACTGAAACTGCAGAAAGCAAGACCACTTATAAGGGAGGACTACTGCAGATGTTTGTTAACACAAAATACTTACTATAGGGAATGAATCAAACTTTTTTAGCCTTTTCAGGGCCCAGATATTCTTTAGTTATGAAATGTCTTAAAAGCTACTTCACAAAGCCTTTGTAAGGCTTCAATGAAACAAAATCAATAAAATGACTCGCATAGTACAAAGCAGAATGGACACAGTCTTTAAGCACTTGTTTTTCTTACCTTTAAACCAAGTAATATAAATTAAGATGTTATATATCCACTCTTCATTTAAAAGAAATCTAATTCAACTTAGATTTACATAAATTACTAGAGAACTGAAATTTCAGATTGCAAAAGTACAGTTATAAAAATCCTCCAGTGTTTAAAATATATTTATAAAAACTAAAGTCAAACATGTTTTTGAAGGAACAAATCAATGTCATAAAGGAAGTAGCTAATGATTTTACCATATAAAACAACGAAACCCTTAGTAAATAAACCTTTATAGACCTTATTTTAGGAAATCCACCGTTATGTAGCTTTCTCAAAAGAAAGTATCAATACACCTATCTGAAATATCATCTTAGGTCAATTAGTGAATTTCCTGTTTATCATTCCTATACAAATAGGATACACATTTTATACAAGTTTATATATAAACACACACATATACCGGTACTCTCCTCGATCAATAGAAAGGGGAAGCCTGAAGGATTTTTCTTCTTTGAAAAGGACGACTTTCATTTCCCAGTTGTAAGCAGGAACACATATGCAGTCTCACCTTGCTGCGACGCAGGAATGAGGACCTGCTGGGCCTGTGCTTGCTGAGGTACTGACTGCTGCGGCTGGGCTTGCTGATGGTGGTGGTGGTGGTGCTGCTGCTGCTGGGTTTGATGCTGCTGCTGAACTTGCAATAAAAGCTGCTGCTCTTCTGAATGAAATCCATCTACTGCCCTAGACTGCATCAGTTTATTCTCCCATAACTAAGGTAAAAAACATTAAAAATTTCTAAGTGAAAGTCAGGGAATGGAACTCCAGACATATGGACAAAGCATATTAGTCTGTTTAAAAAAAATCCTTCCACTTTCTAAACTGATACAACCACAAAAGTCAACCAATCTCTAATACTTACCCAAGTATATGCAATAATGAACACAATTTTTAAAGCATCAAACCTCATTTTTGCTGCCTAAGAATACTAAAGAATTGTTTCTTTTTCATCTTCAACAAACTTTCCATGGTAATTCCTTAGTAACCAAGCAGTTTCATATAAGCAAAATGTTTAGTAATCAAAGGTAATTCTTTTTAATGTCAATTCTATTATTAATTATTTTTATGGAAATCTTTCCATAATACAATGTTTTCTAACTTTTAAATAACATATACAAAACACAAATTCATCTTTTCTTGATGTGACCAATGAGAAACATTATAGAGACAATACTCAAGTCAGAAAAAAAAACACCTTTCCATCCATCTAATCCTACATAAGGGAAAAGAAACAAAAATGCCTAATGCTTTTAGAGGTATTCTCAACCGTCCACACTTCTTGAAATTCCCATCCCTCTTTCATTATGACAAGGACTGGCAATCTTTTTCTGCTTATACACTTCTATTTTCTCATCTCACCCTAAGACAGTTTCTGTGACATGGGGGGGGAAAAAAAAAGAAGAGGAAGAGGAGGAAGAGGAGGAGGAGGAGGAGGAGGAGGAGGAGGAGGAGGAGGAGGAGGAAGAGGAAGAAGAAAGTAAAAGGAAGAAGGAAAAGAAAATATTTACAACTATTCATCCTTCTCCCTACCACATTTCTTCTCTACCAGGTAGTGTTCAATCTAGAGAGCCCTGACCCTTATAAGAAATTGCCCAAGAAAAGTCACAAACTGTTCCTTAAATATATAAATGAAATTTAATTCAGTAGTTCTGTACACAAGGATCTATACCTACTCTGTTTTGTCCCCTAGGGATATTGCCTAAATCACCTGAGGCTTCTATCAAATCCTTCAAGAAGCCCCCACTGCCATATTTACAGAGATTTTTTAAATCTCCTGACACTTCCAATGGTTCTAGAAATTCTAAATTGATATTTACATGCTAATAACAATTTCAGCACATCTTTAACAACTTACTAAAAAAGTAAACTAAACATCAATTTCCCAGAGCGACCTTAAATTTCCCTAGCAGGCTCAGTATTTAGCCTTGCATGAAGACTACTCTTACAGAGACAATAACAATATCTAGGGCCGGCAGAGTGGCGCGATGGTTAAGAGCTGGCTTGGGACGCCAGAGGGCCCCGGTTCGGATCCCACATATGAGGGCCAGTGACACTGCCCTCTACAGCTAAGATG